TGTTATACACTTAATTATTACAATTTACAAACATTTTACTTCAATTCAATTGTAGACAAATACAAATTCTATACAAATATATACAGTGAAAAAAGGCCAACGAATTATACAATTGCGAATTATATAATTGCAGTGAAATACAATTTTCTCTCGCTTTATACAACAGAAGTGTATAAATTGTGTTTCTGTTTTTGTATAAAGCGAGAGAAAAACATATATCTTCTTCATATACACTTGTAATTATGCAATATACGTACATTTTACTTCGATTCAATTGTATGCAAAGCAAATTTTACACAAATATTGCAGCGAAATAGACAGCGAATTATACAATTGTATATGTATAGCGAATTATACAGTTTTATGTTTGATATGAAGCACAATTATACAAACTCTGCTGTAGCATATAAATATAAATTTTTTATTTGCTATATGTAAAAGTTGCCTTATTATATTATATCGTATTGTTTTATAAAAGTATTATTATATTATATTATTTTATTAAAGTATATAATATATGAATAGTTTGTGATACGAGACTTTAGTCGATGTTCAGGTATGGTGGGAAGGGTTGAGAAATGTCGAAGAAGGAGAGAGCAGGCAGCAGTGTGAAATTTATTCTTTTCAATAATATCTCCATCTATTTCAATAAATTTTTAATTTTTTTTTAATATATTCGATTTACATATTAATATATTGAGTCAGTATAAAATTTATTTGAGTTACATATTTATTCTTGATTTATTTTATAATGTATTTGAGCTAGATTTTTAATATATCGGAGTTAATTTTTAATAATTCAAACTACATATTATGTATCTTGTTAATGTTATAATGTATTCAAGATACTCTTTAATGTATCTGAGCTACATTTTACGTATTCGATTTGTGTTATTTTTTAAGAAATCTATGCAATTACAAACTAAAGAGAGGTAGATTGTAAATTCATATTAAAACTATGTGATACCTAAAGTATATAAAAAAATAATAGGGTAAGTAATTCTTAAATTTATGAAATAATACGTAAAATGAGTAGAAAATATTAAAATATATATATAAATAACAATATGATTACACCAAATTGGTTGTTACATAAAATGAATTTCTTCGTCGTTATTTTATCACAATAAATTTTAAACGATATGATATAATAAAATTAAAATAATAATCAAAATAAATATTATATTTAAACTGACAAACGAAAACAAGGTGTTATATTTATTTTTGAGCTATATATTATAAATATGTTTAATATTCAATATTAATAAATACTTTTATTTAAATTAGTACAAAAAATTATTATCATCATTTATTTTTTTTTAATTTCATATATAAACTCATTCTCCCTCTTATCTTATCCTTTTTATTATCTTCAAAAAAAAATTCAAAAGAAGAAAATACAGTGACACTCTTTGAAGAAGAAGAAGAAGAAGAAGAGAAGCCATGTCTTGTGCTTCATTTTCACTTTCGTTTCTTCACAACGCTTGTGGTGATAGCAAGAAGATTGATTTTCAATTTCGTCCCAAATTGGTGACACCAATTAGGGTTCTTACAGTTGAAGCTAAGGCCAAAACAAGAAGGGAGGACAGAACTGCTCGACATATTCGTATTCGCAAGAAGGTAAATTCTATTTACAGTGTTGTTTTTTGGATTATTGGGGTCTTGAATTTGATGTTTATGCATTCTGGGTTGTGAATTCGTGGTGTAATGTAGCTAAGTCAATTGGGTTAATCTTGTTTTTTAGTGATATGGGGGCAATGATATCTGTTTGTGGGGTTTTGAGTTTGAGTTTTAAGCATTCTGGGGTGTGAATTGGTGGTGTAATGGAGCTATGTCAATTGGGTTAATCTTGTTTTTTAGTGACATGGGGCAATGATATCTGTTTGTGGGGTTTTGAGTTTGAGGTTTAAGCATTCTGGGTTGTGAATTCACGGTTTAATGTAGCTATGTCAGTTGAACTAATCTTGTTTCTACCAACATGTGGCAATGAAATTTGTTGGTGGGTTGAATAAAGTTGAAGTCTTTAATAATGAATTTGTGGTATTATGGAGGTATTTAACTAGTAGAGGAAACGAAAAAAGCCACCTTTTTCGATTGGGGGTTCTCTTTTGGTTTGGTTAGTCTTGTCTTTTGCTTAAATGGGGCAACATGGTAAATGAGAATTCATATAGCCGGCTTCAACTTGCTTGTGGCAGAGTAGTCGTTGTTAAGGTTAATCTTGTTTACCAATTGGCAATGCAATCTCTTCTTGGGGTCCTGAATTTGTGGTTAAATGAAGGTACTTTACTGGCTGAGGTAACCAAAAAGACCCGCCTTTTTCAGTTTTGCTTTTGTCGGGGTAACAATCTTGTTTTCGCTTATATGGGGTTGACATGGTTAGTGTGAATTCCTATAACCATCCACACTTGCTTGGGGTTGAGGCATAGTTGTAGTAGTCTTATCATCGAGGTTAATCTTATTACCAAAATGTGAGGATACGATCTCTTCTTGGTGTCTTGAATTTGTGATCTATGCATTGAGAGTTGTACTCCCAAGTCCCAAATGATGTTGTTGTATAGTGGAGGTATTTAACTAGCTGCGGAAATGGAAAAGGTCACCTTTTTCAATTGTTTTTTTGGGGAATAAGGTTAATCTTGTTTTCGCTTAAACGGAGTGATATGGTCCGTGGGAATTCATGTAGCCAACCGCAACTTGCTAGGGGTTGAGGCGTAGTTGTAGTCGTTTTCATTAAGGTTAAACCTGTTTACCACTATGTGGCAGTGCTATCTCTTCTTGGGGTCTTGAATTTGTTCTCCGTGAATTTACAGTTGTACAAATCACAAGTCCCAAATAATGTATTTGCTGCACGGTAGAGCTATTTAACTAGCAGAGCAAACAAAAACCATGAGGAAAGGAGAGAAGTAAATAGAGCATTGTGTTGAGATTGAAACCCAAAAATGTGACTAGGAGGGGAAAGAAAAATTGATAACCTTTCTAGAACTTTTAGGAATATGTTAGATTGACCTCCTTCTAAGAATTCCACTGTAAGCGCCTTCTTTACCATAGATTATGGGCAGAGGGGATAGATGGATCCTCTTTAATGTTTACTGTTATATGCTTTCTGGTTCGTTTTTTATTTATGTAAATTCATGAATTCTATTGCATATATATTAAAGGTGAATTCGTTGTTACCGTTCTCAAAAGAATCTTAAAGGTGCATATATCATTAACAGTCGATTCTACAACACATTTTTTGACTTTCAGGTTGAAGGGACACCTGAAAGACCAAGAATGTGTGTCTTCCGTTCCAACAAGCATATTTATGTTCAAGTTATTGATGACTCCAAGATGCACACACTGGCTTCAGCTTCAACGATGCAGAAACCAATCTCTGAGGAATTCGACTACTCTGCTGGTCCCACTGCAGTAAGTTCTCAAATATATTTTCTCAAAAGGGTTTAAGACCTTTTTTAGGAGTAATGATTAGCAAAGTTAATGAGTTGAGTTGTTGGGTCCTCATTATCCAGTTTTTGTATTTCCCTGCAAAGGTAAGCAGATATTATTGTAATCTTTGTTGAGTAGGTCGACTGAAATTGTTGCTCTTGTGCTTCGAATTCCCCGAGGCTCCATGCGTCACCCAACCTTTAATAGCTGCAATACTGATCAATTGAAGTACACCTACCCTCGTGAATGTAACTTCACATTATTTAGCCCCCGTCACACTTTATGTTCCTATATAGCTTGAGCTGAAATGTGTTATATCAAACAGTATTTGGCACCGTTTGTCTTGGTTATCATCTCTTGATTGCTCTTTCGTGGCACACGTAATAACATTTGCATTATCTCTCCGATGTATACATACGCTTTGCTATGTTCATGATGGAGTTCTTTCCACCTATTAGAATCGTGTTGATGCTATTAGATATTACGCCATAAAACATATATGAACTATCATCACATGATGTGGTCAGTTGCAGCATTGATAGGAAGATCTTATGAGGATTTTGTTGATTTTCTAATTGCATCTCTTTTCTGAACCTCTGAGGCATATCGCAACCATTCTTCCAGACGGAAATGATTAAATGAACTAAGAAACAGCAAACAGCAAAGAGAGCGTGGATATGTGATTCCCCTGGCAATTTTCTTGCATCAATACAGTTTCTTGAATACTTGTTATGCTGTTAGTTAACAGTAGGCTCTATCATAACAACCTTTTGTTTGCAGGAAGTGGCAAAGAAAGTAGGGGAAGTCATAGCTAAGGCGTGTCTAGAGAAAGGGATCACGAAAGTAGCCTTTGATCGCGGAGGTTATCCTTACCACGGAAGGATAGAAGCTCTTGCAGATGCTGCACGAGAACACGGCCTTCAGTTTTAGAAAGCGGTTTTCGTTGTTCCTAATTTTTTGTTGTGCAAATGTCCTTTTCCAATCTTCCTATTTGTTCCAGTTTGTAAAACTCATGACTAACAAGAGAGATGAACTGGAGTTTTAAATGTATGATCTGCAATTTTTGTCTTAGATGAGAACTTTGATTCCTTTCTTCATCAAATTTTTTAACTAAAACAACAAGATAATGGTCTAACTATTATTTTTTCGCGAGTTTTACACTCATTATTGGTCGTTCCCTTTATTTACTTTAACTATCACCAATTGGTCCGTCTTCGTACTTGAAAGATCACCATTTATGTATTAAAACACATTCAGCTGAATAGATGGTGATATTTCAGATAGAAAAAGCACACAACTAATCTATGGTAGTGTGAAAGTCGCAAAAAATGACAGTTCAGGTGTATTTCTGGTTGACTATGAAACAATAATTGTTATATAATGCAATGTTTGGTTGATCATATATATCAGAAAAATAGTATCTAAATAGCCAATTCAGTGTTTGGTTGACATTATTAAATAATATATCTATCAATTTATGCAAGAATCTGTATGTGAAAATAAAATATGAAAGAAGAATGTCTATTATGATAATTTCTTCAAATATCATTAATCATTACATAATAATTCCTTCATTATTTGACCACATCATAATAACCATATCATTGATATTTCATCACATAAACAATTATTGCATAATTTGTTTGTGAATCAAAACAACCCTTTAATTGTAAAATTACAATACAAATCCAAATACAATTGAAATCTCTCCATGATATTTATTGATCATAGGGATTGAACAAATTGGCATAAAAAACAAGTTAATAACTTGAATAACAACCAATTTGTCACTTGTTTTTTCTACCTAACCAAACTAAGAAGCATTAACAAATTTTACCAAATCTTGCTTTTGGGTGTCAAAGAGTATAGCCACACCACATCCACGAGACAATTAGCAACTAAAAAAAAAAACAGACAGTTCGGTACACAGAACATCCCGTTTTACAGAAAATTCAGAAAAAGGGTCGTATCAACTTGCACGGCTTGAACCCTTGACGTATAAATCACACGGAAACAAATTTATCGTTGTTAGCAAGCTCCCTTTCAAGACACTAGCAACTATGTACATAAATTGCTTGATTCTTGATACTTGATATATTGTCCAACAACAACAAAAAAAAAGTTCAAGTTCTTGTGTTTGACTTGTCTAAAATTGACCACATCACTTGAACATCATCATATGAACAAGCCATTACTTCCACTTGCAAATTTACCATATGGTTCTCCGGCCCTGAACAAGTTGATCGAGAATTTAAAGTTAGCATGATCGTAATGACTATAATTTTTACGTCTTAACATAGTTATTTATGTCTGAGTTAGTCGAACTCACAAAACCGAAATAAAAAATCGAACACATTACTATATAAATGTAAACATACATACCTTCTTGATGTGACTTCTTATCCCTCGATGATTCTTGATTGAATAAAGTTCGAGCTTTTCTAAATGGAGAAGTGATTGTTCGAACCCATGATGTAGATTTTCTATCACGATGATAAGTTGCCATGAAATTGTAAAAAATATTTTCTTTTTGTGTTTACTATATGATCTTATTCTATATGTGATATATCTAAATTTCTATTGGCTAACAACACAAAATTTGGTTGGTTTATATAGAATTTACGTGTCACATATAGATACAATACAATATTTTTTTTAAAGTAAAGATATTATATTGCCCATAAAAGGCAGGCAAGATCCGTGAGAATAGCACTGTTTCATTATGTAATCTCTTTTTCACTTCCGTTCAAGTTTACGTGACATTTTTCAAATTTCGATATTCAGATGAGTTAATCATATTTTTATTATACATCTTGAAGATCAATTATTCTGACTTATAATACTTCATATATGTAAAATTTATTTCAAAAAAGTTAGAAAATCATATCCAAATTCACAAACTATATATTTACTATCGAAATTCAAACAACGCCTGAGACAGAGCGAGAGTAATATTTTTGATCCTTTAACTATTCAAAAATTTTGAGTTTGGACTTCTTATGATATATTGACTTAACACATTATACTTTCAATCGGTAAAAATATATCCTTTTTGATCTCTTTTTTAATATACCGCGTTATATAATAATAACAACAGCATACTCGATATAGTCTCATAAAGGAGTTGAGGAAGGACGGTTTACACGTAAATCTATTCCTACCTTTGTGGGGTAAATATGTTGTTTTCGATAAATTATCGACTCAAAATAATCACCATCCACCCCACACCCCATTCTTTTTATTTTAAATTTGATTAGAAGTATTTGTGCACATGGCATTCACGCTCCATTGATGGCCCCTTCCATGTGAAGTTCATTAATTTGGGCATATGACGTTGACGTAAAGTTGATGAGTCCAATTATCAAAGTTATATAACTAATTAAACTAACAAATTATAATTTTTATTATTATTTAATTTGACTTTTTCTATAGCTTTAATATAATATAAATTCAATTATTTTTTTCTAGGATTTTAGTTTAGTACTTAGCAAGAATGCAACACGCGATGTATGTGTGAGTTAGATAGACGTGTATAAACATGCATGGTATAAACTCGGACTATAATGTTTTGATTTATGTACATTACATGTTGAAATTTCGTGTGTTTTGGTTTAATAAGAATGTAACACGTGACATGTGATCATCGATTTGACCGTCGAGAGGTTTTGGTTCTATCGTAAAAATACAAACATGTGGTTGGTGTTATGTAATACGTGTTAGGTGTTAGATGTATGTTACGAGTTCGAATTTCAAGGTATTTTTATTTAACGATAACGAAGCAAACATATGTGACGTGTGTTGGGGGCACAACTAGCTATTTATTACTAGGTTACTTATTAAAAATATTATCAAAAAAATTATTATAATTTTGCCACACTTCTTGTTTTTATGTTTCGAATTTTAAGGTAAAAGGTTTACTTTTTTAATTTTAAATTTCAAGTTTGACTTTTATTAAGCTCAATTGGTGGAGAAAATGGGATCCACAAGAAGAGAAAACAAGAAAGTTAATATAAACAAAACGGTCATGACTAATAGTAATGATTGACGATATATTATAATTGTTGATAGTAATGATTGACGATATTTAATGGTTAATGATACATAATAACTGTGGTGGTGACTGATAATGATGGTTGACGATACATAATAACGTTGATGTTGAATGTTAATTAATAGTGATAATTGACGATACGTAGTAATAGTTGATAGTAATGATTGTTGATAGTGAATAGTGATCAACACATTGATGTGATAATAACATTTCTTCTTTTACCTTCAATGAAACATTGTTTGGATTTCACTTTCATCCTAAAAAAACAATTAAATAAGAGATATTATTGAAGTATTTTAATTTTTTTGTATAAAACATATGAATTATTTTAATATGTTTGAAAGAGGAAGTGTCATCTATTGGATGAACAATGACAAATATATTTTTACTATACAAAATTTATTGATATCTGGACTATTTGTGTAATGGTAAGCGTAACGAGGGTGTATAACTCTAAATCCCAACTTTGAGAGGTACATCAGACTTTTTTTCCCTTAAAATAAAGACGTTGTGTTTTGTATGGGATAATTGTGCAAAAGACGAGTTTTAATAAAAAATGCGTTATTTTTTGGAGGATCCGACATACACCTGTCAACATTTTTGAAGAGTCCGAGCAACAGTCTTCAACTGCGAGAGCAGCAAGTAGTTGGAGTTGATTCATTTTTCAATTGTATGCATTTTTTTCATTTGACATAGTCAAAATAATCCTTATGTTCTTGTTATTATGCTCAACATGTTGCCATCAGATGGATATTTTTATTGTTATTAGCTATTGACCACATTGCTAAAGTTGTGTTCTTTTCTGACCATATTGCTAGTAATAAGCTAATAGTTGGAGAATCAGGCTGAAGTAGGATGATGGAAGAAGAGAATGCTACTGAACGAGGCACCGATAACATTAAAAATAAAGTTTTAGAATCCTCAGATGGCTCGAGTTGTGCACGAGGACAGGACAAGACAGAGAAACAGAAAGTGGCTGCTGCTGCTGCTGCTGAAGTTCCATACTATAAGTTGTTATCTTTTGCTGATACAATGGATCATGCATTGATGATTATTGGTTCGATCACAGCTGTTGGTAGTGGAATTAGTTTTTCTATGATGGCTGTACTGTTTGGAGAGATAGTTGATTCGTTTGGAATGACTCTGGATAACGATAAAGTTGTTGGTGAAGTTTCTAAGGTACAATGTATTTTCAATAGAATGCTATTCTGGTTATGTTTTCTTGATGATCTATCGACCGTCTGTCATAGTCCAAATTCTAGGAATGTATGGTCGTTTTGTCCCTTAGGATATGACACATCGTTTACTTGTCCTCTGTCTCATATAACACTTCAATTTTCATTTCATTTCCGATGTGTGATTTACCTAAGGTGTTATTCTGTTCCCTTTCTTCAGAAGCTTGCCAATCCTCTTCTCGACCCGTCCTCATTGGGCATCATAAACCCCCTTAAGAACATAGTATCCTAGTTTTCCCCCACCATAATAGGAGTCTAACTTTGATATCATATTTGTAACATCTCGAGTCCATGACAGGTAAGGAAGTGACGCCACATTGAGCCTGAAAGTGCTTATACCATGAACATTTGTATCTGGTCTTATATATATTGCTCTTCACTTTCCTTTCCCCTTCTGATATTGGATTTGCGTAAGGTGTTATATGCACCCTTCTTCGGAAGCTTGCCATCTTAAAATGTCCATATCAATCCATCTGTCATGAATAGATACGGGCGTTTTAAGCTGAAGAAGTTCTGATGAATTGACAAAGTGTTATGTCATTGTAATGCTTGCTTCTCTGTCCTGTTTTTTCAGGTAAGCCTTAAATTCATTTATCTGGCTCTGGGTTCAGGTCTTGCTACATTTGTCCGTACGTATACTTACCATGACGATATACTTGCTTCTGTTATCATGGCATTGTTAAAGTAGTTTCTCTTTAAGACCAAGAAAACTCAATACTCATATTAGCATCTTTTCAGAGGTGACTTGCTGGACGGTCACGGGGGAAAGGCAGGCTGCTCGAATCAGATGTTTATACCTGAAAACTATCTTAAGACAAGATATTGGATTTTTCGATCAGGAGACCAACACTGGTGTCATTATCGAAAGACTGTCTAGTGATACTCTTACTATTCAAGATGCCATTGGCGAAAAGGTATTTCTTCAATACAGGCTCATGTGTATCATTACCATTTGATATATAGCCTGCATTCACATTAAACTGCAGGTTGGAAAATTTATCCAGATATTATCTACATTCCTCGGAGGATTAGTTATAGCTTTTATTAAGGGGTGGCGTCTAGCATTGGTCTTGTCATCTTCGATTCCTCCACTTGTCCTATCTTCTGCTGTCTTGACTATTCTTCTGGTGAAACTAGCATCGCGTGCACAGACTGCTTATTCAGAAGCTGCAACTGTGGTTGAACAGACAATAAGCTCAATTAGAACTGTATGAAGAATTGGAAAAAAGACACTTCCTTTTTCAATTTCAACTATTTCAAAAGTTCTCATTCACTAAGCTGCGTTATGATCATGCAGGTTGCATCATATACTGGGGAGAGAAGAGCTATTTCTGAATATCACAATTCTCTGAACAAAGCTTACCATTCTGGTGTACAAGAGGGTTTGGTTTCAGGGCTTAGTATGGGTGTGTTCTTTTTTGTTTTCTATTCAAGTTATGCTTTAGCAATATGGTATGGTGCAAAAATGATATTGGACCACAAGTATACTGGAGGAGATGTGATGAATGTCATGATGTCTACGCTGACCGGCTCCTTGTAAGTTCTATTTGGATCTTCTTTGTTGTATGTTTAGTTTCTCTCGCTCATAAGACAGACTGGAGGCTACACTGACAGATATGGTATACAAACCAATAAGTTACCGAACATGTATTGATGACACTGATATGTATACTAAGCCTTACTTTTCTAAATTATATCTGCTTATTATTGGTCTTTTATTCTTTGTTTTCCTTGTAATTGCAGTACTTTAGGACAGGCATCTCCATGCTTGCATGCGTTTGCTGCTGGAAAAGCTGCAGCATTTAAAATGTTTCAGATAATAAACAGAAAGCCGGTCATAGATCCTTATGATATGAAAGGACGGAAACTTGTTGACATTAGTGGTGACATTGAACTTAAAAATGTTCATTTCTGTTATCCAGCAAGACCACAAGAGTTCATATTTAATGGTTTTTCTGTGTCGATACCTAAGGGAACAACGACAGCTCTAGTAGGACGAAGTGGAAGTGGAAAATCGACTGTGATCAGTCTTATAGTGAGGTTCTATGATCCACAGGCTGGTGAAGTTCTGATTGATGGTATAAATATCAAAGAATTTCAGCTTAGGTGGATCAGGGGGAAAATTGGCCTTGTTAGCCAAGAACCTGTGCTGTTTGGTTCAACGATAAAGGATAATATTGCCTACGGGAAGGATGATGCAACACTTGAAGAAATTAAAGATGCAGTTCGACTTGCCAATGCATCCAAATTCATTGATAAATTACCTCAGGTCAGGCTCTAGTGTTCTTTCGTTTTA